AACATCTAAGAGATTAATATATTTTACATATTACATCCATCACACACATAACGCGAAAAGACCCTGCTACAGATCAATGTTACACAGAAAAGCAGATGTCACTGGTCACATAAATCGTACCTATTTTTGATTACGGTGAGTGCACTACATACCAGAAATAGTCTGTTAGTAATCTTCTTGGAAAACTAAAACATGGAGAAACAAATAGCAGTTTTAAATACGCGTCTAAAAGACATTTGTAAAGCAAAATCAGAGGCGCTGGATACCATGTCTACTCTTCTTTTCTTGATCAAGTCCTAGTTAGTGTTTAAAGCACTCTTACTCAATAACGTCGGTCACTACTTGGATAATCCACTGTAACAAAAGTTCCATTTAATTCTAAAATTAATTATCAGATGATTTTATAGATATATACTTCGAAGCCTAACATATCATCCTGACGGAATATATATTGCATTTGATTTGAGAGAGTCCAATTCTGAATTAGTGCGTCTATCCATAGAATCACACAATTTCAGCTCTCTGTCTTTGACATACTTTTGTGCACTCTCGACTCTCAAGAGCTAGGAGACCATGTACACCTGTGAGAAATAAAGCTGTGTAATTAAAGGAACCTTCAATTAATTTTAGTCCATTTGAATAAAATAATTGCTCTTGAAAACGGTTATAAATTTGAATTCCCATAACTAGCCGGATACATGGACAAAGTGAAATACTCTGAATAGAAATTGGCAATGGATTTCTCTTGTTTTTGGCTTGCTAGAGATGAAATGGTTTTATAAAGATGTATGTAAAGTTTGAAAAAGGATGTCGAAGTCCATATCAACTGCATATGGGTTTGATTACTGTTTTAAAATGACTGAGAGATTCTCACCTGCCCGTATGTTGATAATATGAGGTACATAAGAGAGATGTAACTAGTTGGGTAATGTGATAAGAGAGTCCTTAATTCTTTAAGAATGAAACGAGTTTTTATGTCATATTTTCCTATTAAAATTTGAAAAAAAATTTGACATCTTTTAAGAAGACGAATGAAGTCAATGTATTAACATACTAAGTGGCAGGTCCAAGGTAACTCTAGTTTGTGTTCCAGGGCATTCTAATATAGTAGGTAATGAGTGCACAGCTGAACTAGTCAGACTTGACGCATCTTTTAAGGAAATTTCTATTCCAATTCCTACATCTGCCATTCACAGCCGTAAGTTGATTTGTGACCATTTTCTGCGACAGGCAAATAGGGAGTGAGCTTATACTGCTACAGCAGCTAGGTCAAGGGCTACTTGACCATTTTACTCAAAATGTAGAACGCCTGACTTGGTACATAAAAGCAAATCAAAAGTATCTAGGTTAATAACTCTCTGTTTGACTGTGGGGCGACATGGGGCCAAGTTCGGTCTACCCTCTAATATCCCCTGTACTCCCTGTATATCCCCGGTATTCCCCAGAATACCTATTGTGTCTATCTCCAAACTTGTCTAGAACTACTTAAGCTTAGTTAAACTACTTAAGCCATTTTTAAACGTACTTGGCGATATTTTCAGTATTATTCCGTCAGTATTTTTTCCACCCACCAGTATGAGGAATTTTGGAAACAAAACGGTTTTTTAGCTAATTGAGGAGGACTCGTTCCACCCTCCACTTCACCTAACTGCACCTAATCTAAACTTAAATGTTGTGGAAGGAGTTTTAAAACTCTTTTCACCGCTATAGAAATGTAAATCTTAAATATTTCAAACCATAATTTTTTAAATGTATGATATTTGAATTAATTTTATCTTTGAATTATTATCTTATGATAATATTTTATTATAATATTAGTCGAATATCTGATATGAGTTTTTTTAATTTTGGGTAACTCAATTCAAGATGACAAAAGATAGCCAAAATCTAATAGACCACGTAATGAACTAAATAATACCAGTACACGAGATAATCTTCCTTCTTCTGCCAAATATATCTGCTGGATATACACTTTTTACACTACATCACTTCTAAAAACGTCTCATATAGTAGTTTATGAAATCATTGACTTAAGAGTCGATTTAAACAGCTTATTAGAGTCAACTTTTGAGATACAAATAGACTTCTCCGTCTAAATATATCTAAACTTAAATCAAGAAGTGATTTCTTAACTATTTACAATGATATTATTAAAAACAAAATGGGATTAAAATAAACTAATAACTGTAGACATTGTAAAATGTTAAATGAGATATTTAGTCATTTTATTCACTCGTATCCGATTGTTGTTAAAAGGAGGATTGAACTGATTGAAAACTGAACCGAGTATTATGTACTATATAACTTATATTATTATATTTTTAACATGCTTCCTAAAGGTTTCTCCAAAAATTCTGGAATAGGTCTTTAAAATTTCAAGAAGATTCGTTTAAAATTCATTTAATTATAAAATAAATTATAAAATAAATTCTGAACATTTTTATGAAACAATTATCTATGGGCAAAACTAAATTTTGTGCATCTACAAAAACTATGTGGTGTGATAGGTTATACTCTCTCACTTATTAACAAGTAATAAATATAAAAGTTATAAGAGATTCTCTGCAATAAAATATTATATATTTAAATAAATATTTACTTAAATATCTGCATGGTAATTACTTTTTTTTACACTGTTTCATTAATAATTTACGCTACTATTGAGACATATAAGTTAATTGAAAACACTTCCTTAAAATAGACCAGCCACTATCAATGCCTATGTGTGGTAGACATTCCTGCGAAAATAAAAGTTCTTCAGTTCATACTTAGGTTCAAATATAATTGCAGTGACTCTGTACTGTATATATACATTCTGTACTGTACCGCAGTCACAGTACAATATGCTTACTGTGGTTTGTGTCATTAATGTACTAAATATTTTCTTCACACGTATGATAATGCAGTTTAACACTTCAAGCTGCCGGGTAAGGTCTTTGCTAAAACATCACAAAGTGATTAAGGTCTGTGTCTATGGTACAAAATAAACATAGAAAACATTTACAGTAAAAAGGTTGTGTTACATGACAAGGGATAAGATTTATGTGCAACGCGTTTTTAAAAAATCATGTACTTCATAAAATTTTCATGGTACAAATCAAAATATTTCAAATATAATTATTATTCCACCCTACGAGTTAACAGTTGTTGAATGCTACTATTCACTATTTATAATAATTTACCATTTATTCAGTTAATTCTTTGAGTTTAATCATATCCATTACATACTTACTTTAATATCAGCTCTATACACATTCTCTTATTTTAAGCTTAGTAATTTTAATGAAAGTAATAAGGAGTCTAATCACGTATTCGGCAATAAACAGGATTAAAGTATAAATATGCATGAAACATGTTCAGTCGGGAATACATATACATACTCTATTGCCCCGCTTTACCTAGAAGTAAATGTGAATTTCTTAACCAATTATATTTTTTTTATCGAGAAGGTGTTTAGCGCTAAGTAATGATATCACAATGGGCCCTTAAAGTTTATATAAGTTTATTAAATCAACTACTGGCCATAGTAATCCAACCTAACTCAATTTATATATACACAAACTTCTTTTAGTTGAAACAAAATTTGTGATTACATACCCAATGGGTGATGTTGCCAAAGTAAGTAGCAAAATGAAGAATTAAGTGATAATGAAGATATCGCTCTCACGTGAGCTAAAAAAAATGGCCCGTTGTGATACAACGGATTAGCGTTTTTTATATGCAGACTAGAGGTTAGTGTACGAACAATGCCGAAAGGCACGACTTTCCCATCCCAATGAAAGTGAACCAAGCTGACAAGTCTATAAACTTGGCCAAATCTCTAATTTTGCAGAATAACAGCCCTGTCAGGTCGGTAAACAAAGGGACTTCGAGGATTTTAATTCTCCTTCAAGCCAATGATGGACACTGACACAGATGATAAGAAACAGATCTGAGCTTCACATGTTTTAATGAACTTGAAATCTCTAATAAATTATGAAACAAAGTTCTGTGTCTAATAATGTTCTTACTTAGTGTTATTACATTGGAAAAGTAGCTAATAAAAGACTCAGTATTTTATAGCAAATAACTTTATATTAAATTTGATTTGAATAGAAACTATTGTGTTTAATAGAGAGTTTTCGAATAGTATTGAATTGCAAAAACAAAATTTTTATTTATTTTTAATTAATTAATTTTTTGGCTGACTATACAGCTGTTTCGAGTATTGCTAAATGCACATCATCAGTGGTCTTGGATTAATTTTTATATTAGTACTAAGAATAAACGGGATACTCGCTCCCACCGGAGCAAAGCACTGCAACCATGATTGATCTTTTGTGCTACAAAAGACCCTAACCGAACAGAAGACAATTCGTCTTGCGAATGAAAGCCAGAATGTCAGCCGTTGAGGACCTTTTAATGTCAGAAGGGGAGCGTAGTTCTTGTTTATATTAAATTATTCTTAAATAATTTTTTGAGTCTGCAAGTACCAAGAATTTACCTCGTACCATGTTAAAGTTGAAGCTCAGAGTCAGTGCACATTATTGACTCTTCATTGACTTTGGCCAACTGACACATACGACTTATTTGACTTGTATGCTCGAACTTGGAGGTTTTGTTAATTTGTTGTGAAAGTTTATTAACAAATTGACTTGCTGAAATTCACTCATATTAAAACGAAATCATAAACCAGCTGTAGAATAATTGAATTAATCAATTACACTTATTTTAAATTATTAAATTTCAATATTATTCATTTCTATAATTCGCAAGCAATTTTATTAATAATAAAAATTCCTATTAATAAACACATAAATTTATTGACTAACTAAAAATTAATTCATAAATTATACGCACCTCATAATTTTCGAAAAACGGCGCTACAAGTAGTGCGTGCACTGCACAACCGACCCATTTCCTGTATAAACAAAACAAGCTCAGGGGATGATTTCGTTTGCTTTCTGACCAATTTTCGAAAATGTTGTCAAACGCGACTTCAGTACGCTGTTTGTCGTCGTTCAACGTCGTTGTTGTTGTCGCTTGTAAAAGTGTCAGTTTTTCTGCTCGCTGGAATTCGATTTGCAAGGATTAGTTTTTAAAATTTTTTTTTGTGGACTGAAAAGCAGAGCAGCAGAAAAATATCGGTAAAAAGAGAGTTTCATTAAAATATATTAAATAGTTAATATAAAGTTCATTTCAAAATTAAAACGAAATAATTGTTTCTATTCTAAACGAAAAGGTTGTTGAGAAAAATGTACGTTCTGTCACATCCACCCCACTTGAAAAACATGCAATAGGAGCAACAACTTAATTCGACAAAGTAGGACATCATATCAAAATTTGCCTGATTTCTTTTGTATCGAAATTTATCGATTTTTCCTTGTTACTATTACAGTTAGTGGCGCAGTATACACACTCAAACACACACTCTGTTACACTTACACAACTCGCAACTCCTAACTTTCAACTCGCAACTCCTAACTCGTAACTCGTAACTCGCAACTCCACCGAGTTCATTTATCTAAGTTAACAGACAAGTGCAGAAAAAATATACAATTCAATTAATATAGTCGGAAAGTGGTAAGTGGTAAGTGGTAAGTGACAAGACAAAGGAAAGGAAGGAAGGAAGGACATTTTAATAGAGTCTAAAAATAATTTGCTTACGCGTCGAGTCAATTTAATTAAATCAGTTTCGGAAAGTTTATAAACATAACAAAATACCAACGAAGTTATGAGTTGTGTGTACTGAAAAAGCGCTGACTTCATCGTCCACATGGTGGACAAGTTTCAAAGACGTACACTTTTGACAACACCAACAACACCCTCAGCTACTCCTAAAGCATGATAAAGTAGAGGGAACGGATTTACACTGCAGGACATTTTATTTTGGTAAGTCACGTGATACAATCTTTTTTTTTTAGTTTGCTTTCTTTTTTTATTTTTTTTTTGTTCTTTTTTTTTGTTTTTTTTTTCTCTTTGATTTGTTTTCAGTTTTAAAATTTGACACTTTCCACCTCAGACGTAGTAGGCGAAAAGTTTATGGCAGTCATTGGACTGTAAAAGGACTCATAAACATTTATTTTGACTTCTGTTATACAATTTCATTGTCATTAACACGCATTCTCTTTCCAAGTGAACTTTGTTTTTGCGGAAAAAAATAGTAGTAAACGGAAATTGTAAGGATGTGTGTAGAAGTAAACAAATAAATATATACCATATAAATTCCTTTAACTCCTAGGATGAGCATAGGGCCGAGAGAAGTAAACAAAGATTTAGATTAAATAAATGTGATTAAATTAAGAATAATAAGAACTTATTTTTATTTAATTTTAATTAATGGAACTTTGTTTTGGCTGAACATTTATCTTTCTTGAATATTTCGAAATATTCAACATAAGTGGATTTAGAATATATTTGAAGTTTAGATAGTCTAAATACAATCTTTGACTAATTACGAATGAAAATCTGCTCAAATTGGAACCATGGACCGACGTGTTGTTTTGTTCTTTATTTAAATATTTTTTTTTAATATACTATGATTGCTTTAAACAATAACTTACTTACTTAATTGATCGTAACAATCAAGTAAACCTAAACATCGGGGTTCAACCTGACGTAGCACTGCTTTTCAATCACCTCCACTTGGTACCCACTTTCCTGGATCTAATTATCTACATTACTTAAGGCATATTAATAAACCAATCTCAATTAAGGAAGACTAAGACAAACCAAAAACCAAGATCCATGTATAACCATATGTACTGTCAAAAATGATAGTATTATTATAAAAATATAGGAAAATCTTTTTCAAAGAATGTATAGTACAGTAAAACCTTTTTAAATATTATATTTGAAAGTTTCAAAAACATTTTTAAAAATAATGTATAGTAATATCTTTTTATATGTTCCAAAGTTTGAAAAATGTTAGGAAAAGTACAGATGTTGCTCAATAACTCGGTAAACTATAAAGTGATAAAATTATAAACGTTTTAATGCACCTCTCAGATTCTCGGTAAATTTGAAGAAGTATTAATTAAAAAAGAACAAATTATTTCTATTGATTTTATTGTTTTTTTTTAATAAAACGTATTGAACCCGATGTTTAGTGTTTTATTTCACCACCTTTCTAGAAGTTAATGTTATACTCTACTAGGAATATATTGCGAAATCTTGGGTTCAATACATTATATTAAATAAATTAAATATAATTTAAAAAAATTAATTTTTTTTGTATCTTAAAACGAAATAAATACAATAAAATAAATATCTGCTACTTATTAATTATATAAAAAAGAATATTATTGGAATAATTCCTTTTTATATATTGTGAAGTGATAAGAATCTTTTGATTTTCTAACGAAAACCAAAAAAATAATTAGACCTAATATACCAACAAACCCGCTAACAATAATGAAATCCGTTACTTTATAAAAACAAACAATAAAATTTTAGTGATTCATGATCTGAAGTTTACAATTTCTAAACTTATTATTCCTATGTCTGTTGAAAACAGTGAACGTTATTTGAGCATCCCGGTGACTCCGGGGTGAAGTCTTGACCACCCCTGATAACCATGGAAATATTATCAATTTTTTTAATATACGTAAGTGTGCTAAGTTAAGCTGAATAGGTTTCAAATTGTCTTGAGTGCTAAGATTTTTTTCAAAGTCATAACAATATCTACGCTCAACATCTTAGGTTTTTGGGTTACATTTGTATGAAAACTTTAGTATATGTGTGAAAATTGATTCACAATTTTTTTTATAAATTTTGATATCCTGATCCTTTACCACTTTTCAAATAAATTATAAACCCCTATATTTAAAATGTCCTTAAAATTCTTTTTAAAAATATTTTGTCATATTTGTGTTCTCTTCAATAAGTTTTACTTATTTGTTAATCGAGCTATGAAGCCATATCATCATATTCTGATATCTATAATCTTTTTATTTTTATATTAAAATAATGAAATCCGTGGACAGTCTAAGCATAAATCTCTAGTAAGTCTATAATCTCTAATTATCTACTTTTCAGTACAACCACTTTGAGTACCTATCCAATATGAGTTTTCTTTTCATATCAGTTATATATACATAAGTTATATTTCGCAATTATGAAAACGAAAGAGGATAGGCTCGATATTCGAAGTATGACGTGCTTTCAAAAGTTAACTGGGTTTTTTGTAGTGAGGCCATCATTTGTCATTTGAGTCACTTGTTGGTATTGAATGACTGAAATCCCATAATAGATTCTTAAGACTTTAATTTAATATAAAACATACTGTCATATCATTCTATAATATGCCATCTTAGATTTATAGTCAAACACAATAATTCCTACTATTTACCAAATTTATAAATTTCTTCATTATCATTCATTTATATCATTTAATCACTTTTATTGCAATTGTTATCTACTCGTTATATAAATACATAATACATAATTCATAAATGTAATAACTGCAAATGCTTGTGATGTTGTAAAAAATAAAATGCTATAATAAAGCAGTTAAAAGCAAAAACGAAGCACTTTAATAAGTATGAAAGTAGTATAAAATAATTTTGTAAACATAAAATTATTGTGGAATATTAATATTTGAACTTTAAATTATGTTACTATTTATTATTTTTCATTGTGTCGTCTGTGTTTATTTACATAAGTAATATTAATAAAAATAAATTATAATTAATATTATTTATTTAATTTTTGCCTTTTTGTTGCTTTCTGTTTGGCGTTTTGTGTTCATTTATTGAAGTACACAATTCAATTTACGTCACATGTAATCAAAACATATTCAACTCTTCTGACAATTCACTAAAATTGCGGGAATTTAGTTAGTTGTAATTGAGGAGCGCTACTGCCAGTCGCAATTATTTTTGAAAGCATGCATCATATAACCTATTTTGTTTTCGGTATTTCGGATCAAATTTAAGAAAATTTGATATAAACAATGTTTAGCTCTGTTCTTAATTCTATCTAACTTTTATCTATCTACCTATATGTTTGTTTCTTACTGACAATTGTTATAACTTGACTTAAAATTATATTTCATTAAAATTAAATTATGATTTGGCTTTATTCAAAAAAATTAAAGGGATTCACAGTTTTTTATTATTAACTTACAACTTACTTATACTATATTTAGACAGCTAAATTTCCTTAATTTCGTAAAAATTAAATTAAGTTAATTTCGAAAGTGTTCATACTGCTCTAAATTAATCATATGTTTTTTGTTCACAAATCTAACCTCAAAACTAAATTTTGTATGGAAAAAACAACTTAATTTCGCTGAAACGAAGATGAAATCAAGATTTTTGCGATATTATGGTGTGTCTGAATGTAGTACTGTAACTGACTTATATAAACCCCATATAAATAATTAGTATTAAGAATTAATCATCCTTTCCAATTTAATCGATTGCACTTTAAATTCGATTCCAGAATTTATTATATAAAAACTAATATAACATTTTATCGACTGGTTTGTACCGCTCACGCTGTCACTTTTCCACTAACACAAGAAATTTTATTCGCATACAGTATTGAAATTCGTCTAGCCAATGTAAACGGTCTATTGTTCAGCGTATTGGACTCGTATTATACGAATCTCTATACAAGATAGTTCAATAAATTCGCCAAATGAAATATTGAATTTTTAATTTTAAAAATAACAATTTCCGTATTTGCTGCTCTATTCAATGCACTTCAATATACTTATTCCAACAGTTCTCCAATGCTCTACTGTTGCTATTTTAAAGAAAAGATTTTTAGGACCTCTGAGAAGCGTCGGTAGTCAGAAGGAGCTAAATCTAATAAATTCGTCTGGTTGTTGCACCAATATGTAATTTTTTTTATTGATTGTAGCAATGAATTTGTGAGATGTGTGAGCAGATGCATTGTCTTAATAGATCTTCTTTCCTTTAAACCGCA